CGGGCGGTGGCCCCGAGCAGCCGCGGTCACCCGCGGTAACCCCCCCCTTCTCCCCGCAGGCCTCCGGCAATAAGGTGAGCCGGCAGTCCGTGCTGTGCGGCAGCCAGAACATCGTTCTCAACGGAAAGGTGAGCGGTGGGGAGGGATCGGTCACCACGCCGCAGCACCCGCGTTGCTCTGCCTTCCCCTGACAGCCGCCATCGGCCCTGCGGTACCGGGGCTGTGCTCTGTGAAAACACAGACACAGCTGTCCCTGCGTGCGAGCAGATCACTGTGCTTTTATCCCTGCAACAGCGTATTTGTTTGTGCTTGCACCTTGCTTTGTGTATTGGCTCACCCTGTGCAGCTCGCTGGCGTGATGGGAGCACAGCTGGTGGTTCCAGGCTGCTGTGGTGGTTGCTGTGTTTCGCTAGTGTGAGGCTGGCTAGTAACTGGTGACACGGGTGGAAACCGGAGCTTGTTTATCTCTCTTTTCTTCTCCAGACGATAGTTATGAACGACTGCATCATCCGCGGTGACCTGGCCAACGTGCGGGTTGGACGGCACTGCGTGGTGAAAAGCCGCAGTGTCATTAGACCGCCCTTCAAGAAGTTTAGTAAAGGGTAAGAGATCCCTTTAGGGAGACTGAAGTTAAAGTCTGTGCAGCTAAAAAAAAAGGTGGGCTTGGCTGAGATCTGTGTTCAGGGGCTGTGCTCCTTGTGCAGCAATTTGCAGAAATATGTCCCTCTAAACCTGCCTTTTCCTCATCTTTTGCCTTGAGGGTTGGTGTTCCCCTCAGACTGCAGCGTGGGAAGGCTGGGATACGTTAAAACAGTGACGTGAGGAACACATTTAATTTGTTCTTTGTTTATCTACAATGCCTTCCTGTTGCTTGTTTGGGGCATCCTTTAGAAGGAGGTGAGAACAGAGCCGTTGCTGTTTAATCTTCCTTAGCATCAGATCAACCTCTGGCAATGCAGCTGGCGATGGGAGGCTCCTCAGTGAGATTTTGGGTCTGTCTGTCTCTTGTGCCCCTGATCCAATGGCTCTCCTGTTGCAGGGTGGCTTTTTTCCCTCTCCACATTGGCGATCACGTCTTCATAGAAGAGGATTGCATTGTCAACGCCGCCCAGATCGGCTCCTATGTCCACATAGGCAAGAACTGCGTCATCGTGAGTGCCGTTTCTCGGTCTTTTCTTATCTCCTGAGCATGGGGAGGAGTGGGAGGTGCCCACACCAACTGCCTGGAGCAAGCGCGGTTACTCTGTGCTGTTCCTTTCTTCTCCTCCTTCTCCACAGAAGGTGCTGCCTTCAGTGCCGCTGTTCTGAGGGGAGTGGGTTCAGCTGTTTAGAAAATCCTCCCTGGTAATACTGTTCCTGTGACTAACGGGACCATCACTTTACCTCATCTCTGTTTTAGGGTCGTAGATGCGTTTTGAAAGACTGCTGCAAAATCTTAGACAACACAGTGCTACCTCCTGAAACCGTGGTCCCGCCTTTCACAGTCTTCTCGGGCTGCCCAGGTAGGCTCCCTCTGCCTGCCCTTGCACACAAGAGTGGGTAACGTGGATTTTCTTACTTTAAAATATCTGTCCCTGGGGCACGATGGGAACAATCCTACTGTGTTGCTCAGCATGCAGGAAGAGCCCTTTGCTGTTCTGTTAGCATTTACTTACAATTCAGTCAAGGTTGCTGCTTTTAATATTGACTATGAGCTTATTTCTGCTTTCTCCAGCGGGAGCACTGACGGTCGTGCTCTTGTTCTCCTTCCAGGACTCTTCTCAGGGGAGCTCCCGGAATGTACCCAGGAACTGATGATTGACGTTACAAAGAGCTATTACCAGAAGTTCTTGCCGCTCACTCAGGTTTAGTAGCCTGGTTCCGGTGTTTCCGAGCAGTACAGGCATGCAGGAGTGTTCTGGGGGCAGGGAGAGGGATATTGCTCAGTGGGACCAGGGCACGGCCCTCTGCGTTCCTTGCGAGTGTCCTCGACACTGATGGTCTGGCCAAGCCGTCCCTTGTGAAAGCTGCTGTGTCTTGTTTAAACTTTGTGTGCTCATCTGGATGTAACTCATTCCATGTTGTCTGAATTGTGCCATTAAATGTTCTGGACCTAGGAAAGCCAAAACCATTCCCTTTAGGGCAGCATCTCCTTGAGGCAGAGCTGACAGCAAATGCTCTGCAGCCCAAGCCTGCCTTTCATGTCAGCTCTGTTCCTAACCCAGTGCAAGTGGGTTTAGGTTTGCTAGAAGCCATCTCCACCCTAGAGCAGAAGAGCTGCATGGCTGAGGTGCGCGTTGTGGGCAGTTACCAGGGCTCCTCAGACCCACTGATCTCTAGGGCTGTGTGCTGACGTGAGTGGCCTCTTCATCTTCTCCCTGTGGACTGAGGCTCTCTCCTGTAGGGACGGGGTATGGTAGGGCAGGAGCAGGGTATCATTCAACATCCTGGGACTGGCTTTAGGACTTTTGGCTGGCATTGAAACCTGTCTTTCTGTGCCTCGCTGGAGAGGACGCTTCTTAGCTTTTGGCTCTTGAAGCAGCCATCGGTCCTGAGCTCTCGCCTGTCAGGCAGGGTCAGGATCCTCACGGCCAATGCATGTGAATCCTGAGCATCGCAGACCTGAAAGAGCCAAAGGGCTTTGGGAAGAGGATTGCCACATCACTCTCAGAGTTCAGTGCCGCAGAAAGGGGAGGTGGATGAGAGAATGCTGCAGTTGTCCCCGTTTGTTGCCCAGTATTCATATTTGCAGAAAGCTCTTTGGTGCTTTTCTGCATTATAGAACTTAAGGAGCATTCAGACTTCCTTTTTTGTGAATGTTTCATTTTGGACACAACAGAGCAGGAGTAATTCTTGCCGGGAGCAGCTGTGTGAAGGTTGGAGGCAGCTGACACTTGTGTGCACCTGGTGCAGAAGCAGACCACGGGCTAAAAGCAAACCTGCCTGCTGTGGCTGTGTTGTGTTAGAGCTCAGCATCATCCTTCTCTGGCTTTTAGAACTGGGGCTCCTGCATGCTGTAGTGTAGATGCTGGGGGCCAGGACACGTATTAGCTATGTAGTCGGTGTACGGCCGTGAGACCCACGGCCCTGGAGCCTTCAGCTGCTCTGTGCAACGCGAAGTAGTGATACACCTTGAGTAGCAAACAGCTGTACAAGTGCTGAAGTGTGTAGTAACTACTGTGATCAAATGTAAAACGCTGACTGGTTTGTTTGTATTTTTACTGTACATAAATTAAAGCCTCTTCAGTTCAAGTGACTCAAGGTTGTGACTCTTCAAATCAAACTTGAGAGTAGAGTGAGGTTTCTGCCATGCCTGGGCACACGGGGAAAAAGGTGTTAAGTGTTCCTTGTGTCTGCGCTACAGGCAGCTTCCCAATTGCCTTCAGCTTCCAAAAAGGTTTAGTTCCCGCCATCCAGGATCTGACTAGCCCTTGCAGTGAGGGGCTGTAAGAAGCCTTCCCCATCACAAGACCTGACAGGTTTGGGGATCCTTGCAAGATTTCCTGCAAGCCAGATGTTGAGGGGTTTATGCTGCCAGCCCTCAGCTGTCTGGAAGCGTGGGACTGGTGCTGTGTGGGGTCAGGAGGGGCTGTGTGGGGTCAGGAGGGGCTGCGTGGGGTCAGGAGGGGCTGTGTGTGCTGTGTTGCCATGGTGTCACTTCAAAGTTTCAACACCACAGTGTTTCACTGGGATCGCTTGAGTAACGGCCGCTGTCAGGCAGGGTGAAGCTGGCGTGGGAGAGGGGTGGGAGGAGGCAGCTGCCAAATAACGGGATGGGAGTTTGGGATGGCACTGGAAAGGTTGCATTTCCACAGTCACTCGAGCAGCACAGGTTTAGTGCACAGAGAGATCGTCCCTGCACGGTTATGTGTTTGTTGGCCAACTCTTCCTTCTACCAGGCTGAGCTGACCCTTCTGCCTTAATTAAAACCTCTTTTATTGTCTCTGTTAAGGTGGCCTCTGCCAGGGTCTAAAACCAAGTCGCCACTGAAGATCTCAAACACTCAGCACCGTTAACATTCCTTAGATTTGGCCACTTTATCCTGCTGCCCGCTGAAGCGTCGCTCTGCCCTGGGCTCTCCTCTCCGCCTCTGCCAGCTCTGGGAAGATGGAGCACCAGGAGGCTGCAGTGAGCTCCTGCAGCCCTGAGGAATTGCGAGTTTGATGGCAACGTTCAGCCTAGTGCAGGGCAAGAAAACGTGATTTCCAGGGAGGGCTTTGCCATAGGTGCATGGGGCAGCACGCCCCTTCTGTCAGGAGTCCTGTTCAAACAGTGACCACGTCAAACACCAGTCGCTGTGTCGCTTCGTTGTTCCTACAGCTTGACTCCAGCTTGCTCTGGCCCAGCCTGGTGGGCCATGCTCGTACTGGAGGGTAGTCCGAGTCCTCGGGAGCAGGTTTGGGCTGCAGGACTGGGTTATTTTTCACTGATGTTTTGTCCTGTGCCAGTGGATGAAGGGATGGGAACGTCCTGTGCCATGGCTTCAGTGCCAGGCCACAGAAGCAGCTCTGCGGGCCTGGGGCGGGAGGGGTGCGGTGCCAACTTCCCTTCGCTGGACAGCGATGTCCCTTCGTCCCTTCACTGGACAGCACGTCACAGAATCACAGAATCACAGAACGTGAGGGATTGGAAGGGACCTCCAAAGCTCATCCAGTCCAATCCCCCTGCCGGAGCAGGAACACCCAGATGAGGTTACACAGGAAGGCGTCCAGGCGGGTTTTGAATGTCTGCAGAGAAGGAGACTCCACAACCTCTCTGGGCACACGTCCATGGGGTGTATCCAGTGTGCATGGGGAGAGGGAAAAGGTCGTTAATGAGGCTGAGCACAGCTATGCTCAATTGCAACCTTGTCACCCTCGCTGATGGGGAGGCCAAAGGTGCTACCGGGAGGACCGGGATTTTGGGTGGATCCGGTCTGGGGGCTGGTGGGGCTGGGTGGGAGGCGCCACAAACCTTGCAGGAACCGAGCCAGGGGCTGCCGTTTCTTTCCCCAAAACCCCACGATCAGGTCCACGCTCAGCACCAGTTTCCCCTTCACAAAACATTCGTGCCCGGGGATCCCAACCACAACCCCGGCGCGGCCCATGCTAGGACCCATCTCCCATCCT